TCACACCTATAATCCCAACATTTGGGAGGCTGAGGCTGAAAGATAGCTACAAGTTCAAGGCCATCCTGAACTGCATAGCAAGACACTGTCTAAAAAAAAAAAAAAAAAAAAACACCTGACCCTTTCCCTCTGCGTCCTGCTGGGCTTGGATATGACTCAGGAGAGCAGCGAGGGGCACACCAAACCCTTGTACCTCTCTTTACCTCTTCCCAAGCCTTTTCTCTTCCTTTACACAGACAGAGTGGCAGAGACTGGGGCAAAGTCCTTCTCAGATGTGAATGAGCTTGGCATGAAGAGGAGCCTGGCAATGCTGGGCTCACTGCTGCCTTGAGGTGGGAGGGCACTTCCAGTTCAATATCGGACATCCTCACTCGGCTGCACCCCAGCCTACGTCCATAGCCTAGAGCCTGTGGGCCTCCTTGCCAGCAGGCCTCTGTCCTGGGAGGACTTGGGTCAGCAGCGTCAGGATGTTGGCCTTCTCCTGTGTCTGCCTGACCCAAAGGAATCTCCTGCTGGTTCCCCAAAGGGTCTCCGCTCTGTACCTGTGTCCCACTTCCACTCTGCCCTTCCCTGTTCTCTGTTTTTACTGCACGTGGGCAGATCTAGCTCCAGGCAGAACAAGGAAGAGGGCCCAATACCCCAGGACTCCAGGGACCCTACCTCCCTGTCCCCCCACCTTGGTCAGCTGACTATGGAGACGGGGTGGTGCTTAAAAATAGCAGAATTGCTTCTGCCATCTCTTTTTTACTTTTTTTTTTTTTTTATTGGTACCAGGGATCAAACTTATGACTGTGCGCTTGCAAGGCAGGTGCTTATGCCGCTGAGCTAAATCTCCAGCCCCTCTCCTGCCATCTCTTAATAAATCCTGTAGACAAAGGCATCCAATCCAAATTGTTTCTTTCCTACGGTATTTGGGGTGAACCCTGTCCTTTTAGCTTTGAGTTTGGTCACAAATTCAAGCAGCAGAGAAAACCTGTCCCGTATCCTCTAACACGCCTTAGCCTGGGGTCTCCTGGAAAGGGCAGTTGGTTCTACACTGGCTCCTCAGTGCTGGAATGACACCTGTTACCCAGATATCAACTCTGTAAGTGACATCGAACAGGGCCTTTTAACTGATCCAAAAGGACTCCCCAGTATGACCAAATGGAGCCATCAGTTCCTTTCCCACTGGTTTCTATGTGGGACTTCTGGTTAAGGATGTGGATTTTTGCTTCTGAACTCTGAAGCCAGCTTGGCTTCTGTCTAGGATTTTACAGGGGTCACTGGCCTGAGGGGAGGGGTGGCCTTGGTACATGTGGGTGATCTCAGGAGCTGAAAGCCTTGGAGATGCTACAGGGGTGGGGTTGGGATCCTCAGGCCAGAGGCCTAGCCAAAGGGAATACTGCTCTCTTCAGCATTTGGTCAAAGGCGAAGTGCTCAGAACAGCTGCAGCCAAAGTGGAGGAGCAGGGAAGTGCATTTCCCTTGCTAAGTGTGTCTCCTGGGGCTGATCCACACCCTCTCTGTGATCAGCAGCCAGGAGCACATTCTGACCAGAGTGGCCTCCAGAGACCCTGTCCGCAGTGAACCCACAGCCAAGGGTAGCTGCCTGAGCAGGGCCTCCTCACCCAACTGGTCCCTCTGCCACCTTGCTCCAAAGCTTGAGGTGGACCCCAGCCAGTCTCCAGGTCGCTGCGGGTTTCAGCCTCAAATGAGGAAGTGGAGACCCCTTCCACCCCCACACAACAGAAAAGGACACACAGGTCAGAAGCAAATGGAGCCGGACAGTAAGTGGTTTGGACAAGAAAAAAATCATCTTTTTTTCTTTTCTTCATACTAAGATTTAAAGGAGAAGGCAGAGGGAGCTGGGAGTCAAAAAGAAGAAACCAACAGCAGATCCAAGCAGGTGGGAGATACGGAAGTTCGGTTCCCTGGGGAGCAAGGACTACTTAGAGCTCCACATTAGGGGAAGGTGGGACCCAAGGGGCAGGGGCAGGATTTAGCAAACCCCAGGGCAAGCCTGGCATAGTCTGTAGAGAAACAATCTCCATGACCATGAGGGCCAGAGTCTGGAAGCTGGAACCCTGTTAGAATGTGTCAAAGCCAGAGATGCCACCTCAGGTTAGAGATAAAGAAATGCAGGCAGAGGAAAACCCAGTGTCCCTTGGTGAGGTAGAGACAAGGCCTGGCTTCTGACTCCTAGTTCGGTGTTCTCTTGTGTTTTCCATCAATCATTTTGCCTTTTTAGGCCTCAGTTCCCTCACCTGGTGTTGTGATTTGGACCTGAAATACCCCACAGAACTGTCATACACTCAAAGATGGGGTATTTGGGGGATGGTTGGATCCAGAGCATGCTGCACACATCATGGATTCATCCACTACTGAATTTGGTGGCTGGGAGGTAGGATTTGGTCAGAAGAACTGAGTCACTGGGACATGACTGGGAAGCGTATAGTCCTGTCTCTGGCTCCTCTTTTGTCTCTGTGCTTCCTGGTCACCACGCTGTCCTCTATAACAGGCCCTTTCAGCATACCAGAAACTTCTGAAACTGTGAGTCAAAATAAGCTGTTCTTCCCTTAAATTGTAAATCCAGGTGTTGTGTGTGTCAGCAACGGACAGTGACTGAGTCAGATTCTGGTACCAGGAATGAGATGGTTGCTGTGGCTACCTGGTTTAGAAGCCTTTGCAAATGGTTTAAAGGAGAAATTTAGGAAGGTTAAGAAGCCAAGTGTGGTGGCTCACGGCTGTAATCCCAGCACTCGGGAGGCTGAGGCTGGAGGATCGTTGCGAGTTTGAGACCAGCCTGGGCTACAAAGTGAGCTCAAGGCCAGCTTGAGCTGCATAGTGAGACCCTATCTCAAAAAGACAAAAAAGAAAAGAAAAGAAAAAAAAAAAGGTTAAGAGATGCTGGCCACAGAAGAGAGGTTTCAACTGGGAACAAGGATTCCTTTGGCAGCTGAATTTGAGACCACGTGTGCTACATTCTTGCAGAAAATTTGTCTACATTTTTCCTGTCCTGAGACTCTGTGCAAAAATGAGGTGAAGCGCAGAAGACTAATTAGCCTGGCAGAGAAAGTTTTGAGGCAGCCTAATGTTCAGGCTGTGGCCCACTTTCAGTCAAGTTTACAATGAGAATCACCACGAAAGCTTATCTAAAAAGTTTTCAACTGGGCAGAAAGGAAGTAGCTGCAAAGCTGGAGTACAGGAAAGCATGGTTTCTAAAAAAGACTAACATTTAGAAGAAGCCAAGCCGGGATGATAAGAAAGATGGCTTGAGGGCGTCTCAAGAAGCATCTACACTTCAGCCTTCCTGGCTCAAAAGTGAAAGATTCCTCTTTGAGAAGAGACCCCTAGGGTGCCGAGCAGGGCCACCTAGGGAACTAGTTGCCTGGGACATGGTTCACAGTGGTCAGCCATATAGGGTAAGCTTTTGTTGTTGTTGTTGTGTTTTGGTTCAAACCCACAAGCCAGGCTTTCCAGACGCGTACTTACACCACTGAGCTAAACCCCCAGCCCCTTGCTCAGCCATTCAGGCCCTCAGATCAAGGCACTCAGAAACCATGATCAAGAGGATCAGCTACTGCTCCAGGTGGCAGCAGACATTTGTTATTCACGTGGCACTGATTTTATGGCATGAAGAATGCAAGAATTCCATGAGGTCAGGGAGGCTTCCAAGCAGATTTCAGAAAAAGGCCCAGGGGGCCAGGCAGATTGCCCCAAAGAAAGCCCCATATGAAATTGTGACAGTGAAGCTCAAAGTACCGTGTAGACCTTCGAAGTGGCTAGGCCAGGGATATGGAATGTCTGTGAAGTAAAATCAGGCAGTGAGCAAAACCAACCCAAGACAGAGGCCACGAAGGCTGAAAACGGCAATGCTGTTTTTTTTGTTTGTTTGTTTGTTTGTTGTTGGGTTTTTTTTGTCTTTTTTGTTTTTATCGGTACTGGGAATCGAACTCATGACTGCCTGCTTGCACTTATGTCACTGAGCTAAGTCCCCAGCCCCATGGCAATGCTGTTGTAAAAGCAAGGCTCCCCCAGCCCTTGGAGTTCAAATCTTGTCAAAACTCGCCCCGGGCACTGGACCCAGAATTGTAGGGTTTATTGTTTGCCTTGCTGGGTTTCAATCTTGCTTTGGGCCCCGTCCTTTCTGTCTTCCTGTGGCTCCCTTTAGAAATGGCAATGTTTCTCCTGTGCCACGCATGTTCTTTTTGATTTTTATGAGTCTCGCAGCTAAGTGTTTACCTTGAATTTCAGAGGAGACTTTGGTTTGAACTTTCTAGCAATGCTGGAACTATTAAAACCTTGGTGACTCTTAAAAGTGGATTACATTCGTTTTGCATAGGAAAAATCTTTATGGGGGCCATGGGCAGAGTGTTGCAGTTGGATCACTGGATCTAGCCTGTCCCCCCAAGCTCTCACCCACTCACAGGCGGGGCTTTTGGAGGGTAGTTGGATCACAGCAGTGCTCTACTGGCCAGCAGAAGCATCCACTGGTCAGTTTATTGGCTGGGTGTGCTGGGGCGAGGTGAGGCGTGGGTGGAAGAGGAAGGTCACGATGCTGTGACCTAAAAGGATGTCTTCCTGTCCCGTTTCTCCCTTTGCCTTCTGCTTTCTGGCCACCATGCCACACACAGCTTTCCACCACTGCGGGCCCTTCCATCACACTGCTTCTGCAGTTCAGCCCATCAACCACGGGCTGAAGCTTCTGAAATTGTGAGCCAAAAAAAGCCTCTCTTACTTTAAGTTGTGGGTGTTAGACATTGTGTCTCAGCAATTGAAAGATGACTAAGACAGCTCTCCAAAGGAGGAAGGAAGGAAGGAAGGAAGGAAGGAAGGAAGGAAGGAAGGAAGAAAGGAAGGAAGGAAAGAAGGGGCTGATGTGTTGTCATGATTGTCATGAACTGGGATATGCTTTCTCGAAACCTGAGCAGAATTTTTAAGATGAGAAAACTGAGGTACAGCATCGTCTTACCCCCCCATTTGTCCCATTCTGCTGGCGCACACACTCTCCTGGACAAGCTATTTCCAGACTAGAATGCTTTATTCAAGAGAATCTGGCTTGGCAGTCAGTCGGCCCTTCAGGGGCAGCTGGTGGGCCCTCGGGAAATCTGCTCCACTTTCCACAGCTGCTGGCCTAAGGCACACAGGTTCTTCTCCCAGTGACCTCATCCCCAGGCAGGGCTGTTCCTCCTCCATGCTGCTTTTGTCCAGCCTGAGGCCCACTCTGCCTTTGTTCCCAAGCAGGGCAGGGTCATGGCACCCTGGCTGGAAAAAACAATGTCCCAGAACAAGCCAGAGGCAAAATGTGAGGAGTGACCTAAGTGGATGAGGAGTGTCAAAAAGGCTCCGGGCAAGTGCTGTTCTCCAGAGCTGACCGCCCCAGTCTCCAGGGCAAGTAGCCGCTGCCAGGGAGAGGAGGACGAGGTTGGATCCCCTCCACCGGCTGCCTGCCTGCCCACCCAGCCAGGGACACAGTGGCCAGAGCAGGCGCCTGCACCCACTCAGGCAAGGCAGAAGCTGCTGGCAGCGCAGAGCCTGTAGGAGCCCCCATGCGGCCCCTTCGTCTTCTCCGGTCCTCTAGGGCTTCTGGGGTCTGGCTTGCCCCTCAAAGGTCACGTCTTGTTTCTTTCCAAGCCGAAGCTTCCACAGGTATGTGGATGGCTTCTTTCCTTCTCTTACGTTCTGTTTAAGGCACTGAATTCCTGAGGGTCCTGTCCCTCCTTGCCCCTCATCTCGGAGGGAGCAAATCATTCAGCAGGGATGCAGTTGGCTAATAAATAGAGGGAAGGTTCCAGCAGGGAGGTCACTGAGAGTGTGACAGTAATAAATATATGAGCTGGGTGTGGGGGTCTCTCTCCTCTGAGGGCCCGGCTACCTCTAGGGAACACTGTCGCCGCACCTGCCAGAGAAAAAACACAGACAAGGCGAGGGATATCAGTGCACTGTGGGTAACGGGGTCCCCTCCTGTGACGGTGGGGGGCAGAGGGGAAGGTTGGGCAGGGAGCACAGGAAGGATGCAGCGCTTCTGGGATCCTGCTTGCACCCAGGCCAATGAGCAGCGGGGGCTGGGCTTCACATAGCACTTACCCAGGTGCCCAGCTCTGTGCCAAGCACTGTCTCATGTACCCCTAGCAGCGCCCCACGAGCAAGGCACTGTTAGTGTCACCCTTTCTGAGATCAGGAACTAAGGCCCACAGAGGCTTAGAAATGTGCCCAAGATCACACACTAGTCAGTGACAGAGTCACACCTGATCTCAGTCTGGCTTCCTGCTGTCCTGCCTCTGGTTACCTTATAACAGCAGTCTTCAAACAGAGGAAGAAAGGCTGAGAATTAATGGGTTTAAAGAAGCCACTTTTCAGCCTTCATGTGTATCCAGCCTTGAAATTATTTGCATAAGAAAGTGCCTGCGGTCTGCCTGGCAGTTCACCGAGGCCCTTCTCCCTTTGGGGAGAAAGGAGGCCTCTTGCTGGTGGTTCCAAATCCTATAAAGGTGTTTTTCTGCAAGGTCAAAGTATCCCAAGGGCATGAAACCGGAAGATTTCATGGTGTTGTAGGTGTCGAGGAAGGAAATACAGCTGAGGGCTGGATAATCAAGCCATTTGCAAGTTGGGCAGTTTCCAAGTCTTTCAACAAGACTGAAGGGCAGCCTAACTGAACTGTCAGCCAGTAATGCGTCCTTATGTTTACACACACATGCAGGCACGCACACGCATGCATGCACACCCATGCTAAGAATCAAACCCAGGGCTTCTGGCCCAGTAGGCAGGCGATGATCTATGCACTCAGCCCTAGAAGTAATTGTTAGCAGATCACCTGAAGGATTTTGGCAAGAAACTTGGATGTAGTTCAAATAATTCCACGGTATCCAGTTTCATTAACTTGTATATAAAAGCAGATTTCTCAACCTTTTCCCCTATAAAAATTATAAATAGGAGTGGAATTTATGCTGAATGCTCTCTCAGTCTGGCAGGGGGTAACATTCATTAATGAAGTCATTAATTGAAAAGACTTAACCACATTCATCTCGTTGGCATGGCTTTCCAGAAAGATTGTACTTTCACACGTTATGTTTATTAAAACAGGATGTATCTGTGCCATTTTGATGAAGTGGTACTACTAATAATTATTTCTAATTACTTATTCCAAGAGAAAGTTTAATTTGGCTTTATGCCCACAGGAAATTTAAGAACTCAAACTCACCTACCATCCTTTCTGCCAGATAAATAGCAAGATGATAAATAAGTTTAAGAGTTAATTAAAAACAAAATTACATTAGGCTGAAATTCTGTGGGGAAAAGAAATGGAAATGCATAGTTCCAGGGAAATAGAAGTAAAATTAGTATGTGATTACTAAGAGAGAGTGCAAACACTTTTTGGCTATTCATTTTTTAAAAATTGGATGTAGGAGGTATTAAGTTAGGATGGCATATTCCATAGGCTATATCTGAGGAATGAATTATATACTCATTTTTAATGGCTTTATATTAAATACTAATATTTATGATATGCTAGAAATTATATCCTTTATATCTCTTATAACCATTTATAATTATGATGAAAAAGTTCATTATCAACCTAAAAACGAACAAGGGAGCATATGGGATTTTGAAATTCTTTCAAAAGGATTCCTGAAAGTAACATTTAAAGACTGATACCCAGAAAATGGGATTTTGTTTGTTTGTTTGTTTTTTGTTTTTTGTCTTTTTCCTTTTCATCAGTACCGGGGATCAAACTCACAACTGCCTGCTTGCAAGGCAGGTGCTTATGCCACTGAGCTAAATCCCCAGCCCCGATAGGACACTTTGAATCTGGGGCTACCTAGCTGGGGTTGTGACCCAGAATTGCCGTCACCACCAGTTCTTACCCCAAATGATTGCATGGGCCCAAGGCAGAAAAGAAGCCTTAGGGGGAGACTTTGCTGAATCCCTGTCTTTGTGGAGCTGGTGTGTGTGGGGGGGATCTCAGCATGTGGAGGAGCTGGGTCATGGGGCCGGGGCTTGGGTCACCTCTGTTCCTGTAGCATGAAATGATTTGCTCTTGGAGCTAGGAGACTTAGGCCCCAAAGGAGAACCCAGGGTCCCTGAGTCACTGTACCTGCAAAACGTTTTATTTTTATTTCTGACTCACAGATCGGGGGCTCCTTCCCTAATTCTTCCCTCCCAGGGACCCTCAGATCTGGACTCCAGCCTGCTGTCCCTGGGTGTGAAGCCAAGATGGCAGGGAACGTGGAGGGGGAAGAGGAAGCACTGGCCTGGGAGCCAGTGAGGGCTGCACCTTCCCTAGGGTTGCCAGGCTGTAGCCCTAGATAAGTCCTCATCATTAGCACCTCAGACTTGGAAAATCATTCCAGCATGCGCCGGGCACACAGGAGGAGCTTGGTCAATGTTTGCAGAATGATGCTGAGCCTGTGTGTACCCCGGCCCATCATTCTACACACAGAAACACTCTGCTCAGAAAGATAGAATGATGTGTTCCAGGCCACACAGAGATTTGAGACTAAACAAAGACAAGAATCAAAGTGTCCTCACACTTCCTGGGCCCTTGAAGAGGTGCAGCCCCAATTCTGGCTTCCAAGACTCCCTAAACCTCACCTCTCCCCCTCCCAAACCACTGACCCCTGGGCAGGGCCCCCCTTGGGCCCAGCCTCCTTGCCATCCCTGGGCTCCCCGCGCACTCACTGGTGGCAGACTGTGGGTTTCTGGTTCTCTCTCTTCCTCTTCCCCCTGACCTTGGGTCTCCTCCTGCAATAAGCCAAAGCGTCAGGACAAGGTGCTGGGGCTCCCATGCTAGGACAGAGGCTGGCAGGCCTGAGAACAGCCCTGAGCCCTGGCCAGGCCACTTACCTTTCTGACTTTGTCTTCTTCTGCAGAGGTCTAGAGAAACAGAGTGAGGAGCAGAAGAAATCAGGTGAGCGGTAAGTGGGGGCTCCCTGCCACCCTCATTTACCCTCAGACTTCCCAAGTGCTGGCACTGCAATTGACACTGAGGCCATAAGGGGGCAGCATGGAGCTGGCAAGGGAGAGCAAGCCAGAGGACTCTGGGCTCCAACCCTAGGCTCTGGGGCTCCTTCTCACAGGCCTCTGAACTCAGCTTCTTGGCATCAGATCTGGGGCCTTTTGAGTCTGTTCTCTGTTAGTTCACTTTCTCTGTTCACTTCTTACCCTTCCTGGCAGGATGCATTGTGGGAGTTTCCTCCAGGACAGTAACTGATGGGCAAAGCCACGGATGGGGTGATAGTTGCTGCTAGCTAAGGCTGCCTGCCAGGGTACAGTCCCCACCCCACTCTGGCAACAGCAGAAGAATGGGCAGGGGCAGTAAAGGGAGGTGAGCACAAGCCACATGGTCACCAGGCATGTCCCAGTTCTGCCCCCTGGGGCTGTGGCTGTTGGCCCAGAAGTGAAAAGAAAAGTGTCCCTGTTGCTTGGCATACTGGAAGGGGACAGAGCCTTGGTCTTCCCTGGGAAGAGTGGGTGGTGACAGGCATTTGTGGGACCAGTGAGGGAAGGCTGCCCTGGACTGGCTCTTTCCTTGGAATGCCCAGTCACATGTCTCCCTATTGGGCAGGTCAGAGACACTCTTGGAACCCAGCTCTCGTCATCTCCTTAGCCCCAAAAGTGGCTGTGAGAGTGCAGGGATGTAAAAGATGAGGGTCACCACCCAGGAGTAGTCACAAAGGAGTGACTTAACTGATTCCATGCTGGCTAGGAGGTAACAGGTTGAGGTAGAGCCCTTGAATCCTGGGTTCTGCTTCAAAGCGGGCAGCCAGAGCCCTGGGCAGTAGGCAGTGCCAAGCCTTGGTGGCACTGAGGCCATGCAAGTATGTGGTGATGGCCAGGAGAAGTGGCATCGCCAGGGCAGACTTAGGAGTCAGGATGCAGTTCAAATCCAAACGCTTCTTCACACCCCCTAGCTGGGGCAAATCACTAGCCTGGGTGTGCTCATCGATGCCATGGGGATAGGGTGGCCCTGAGGGCAGGGATCTTGTCTGTCTTGCTCAACTCTGTAGCCCAAGAGTCTGGGCCAGTGCCTGGCCTACAGTAGGCACCTATTAAACACACGGAAATAGATGAGACAAGACTTCAGGGTGGCTCAGGAGCTTGGACCTTAGGTCTGGTGCCGCTGTCCATGCCCAGTGGTACCAAGAAGAGCATCTGGGTGCCTCTCCCTATCCTTGAATCTGGACAGCAGAGCCAGGCCCATGCCTGGTGCGCATGCAGCAGGGCTGGCACAGGCCAGAGCTGCTGGGTTAGGAAAGGGCAGGGTGGTAGGGGCTGCAACTTTAAAGAAACCACAGTGCCTGCTTCCTTTCTTTTGTCCTTTGCCTCCTAACAGCCCAAACTTTCTTCTGTTTCTCAGCCCAGCTTTCTCTCCTGTGGGCATGTGGCCTCGCCCAGAACCAAGTCCAGGCTTTCTGTATGTTCGCCTCCAGGACCTCTTCCCATCTCAGAGGACAGCAATGCGATGCACTGGGCTCCTGCAAGTCTGGAAAGGACCCAGACTCCCTCTTTCCCTGGGCATCTTGACAGCTCTACTGGAACCAGGTCCTTGGCCAAACAAAACGCAAGCAGGGAAGCAAGTGGACAGCCTCCAGCTCTGCCCTGCAGCCTGGCTTTGACGAGGCTCTGAAATGCCCAGGGCCTGTCCTAGTGTCTGTCCCGGACCTACCTGCACTCGCAGAGGTCGTGCTGTGAGAATGTCAGCTGCACAAAGGAGGGCCGGGTCCCTGGGGTGATCTTCAGGACCTGTGGGGAAGAGAAAGGTTGGCATCTGGGGAGGGCTCAGGTGAGTGGGCTCCAGAAGGAGGGCCCTGGGCTGGAGTGGTGACTGGGGGCCCTGGCCTGGAAGTCCTGGGACCTTGGCTGCCCCCTCTCCCTCTCTGAGTCCTTATAGTGGGTGCTCATGGGCCATGAGGCAGGGTGACAGGAGAGGGAGCAGGGGTGGGGATCCCTACCTGCATGGTGACATTTGTCGTCTCCACCGGCACACACTGCAGGCGCTCATCACCACAGCAGCCAGTGCAGCGCTTCAGAGAGACGCAGGATGGGCTGAACAAGTACTGGACCTCGCTGGGGTACTCTGTCACAATGTCCACTAGCCTCTCCCTCGTCCGGCAGTAGCTGCGGCCCCATACTTCCTGGAAAGGCACCACTACGGAGAGGCAAGAAGATGTTATAGACCCAGCTCGGCTCACATTTTGCTCCCGTCCACACCCCAGCCTGTCTGCGCCCCCTCTTCACCGGATTCCTCTGGGATGCCCACTGAACCCTTAGCTCTTCTAACTGGGTGTGAGTCTCCAGGTCTGGAGTGCGCAGCCCTGCTCTTTACTCAGCTACCCGTGTCTGCTTTGGCTCCTTGAAACTTCAAGAACTGTTCCCTGGTAGCTCCCCAGGCCCCCTGGATCCTTCTCAGCCTGACCTGGTGTTTCCCTGTCTTGGAAAACTTGCTGGAAAGTAGTCTAGAGTCCTGCAGGGAGGCTTGGTCTTCCCTTTTGTTCTCTGCCCGTAATCCTGCCATGGCTCCCTCCCTCACATCCCCCACTTAGTGCCAACTCCTCTGCCTTCAGCTGAGACCACAGCCAGCCATATGGTCCAGCCCTCCTGTCTGGAGACCCCCAGGCTGCGCATGGAGTCTCAGCATGCCACATTCACCTCCAGGTGGCACCTTTCTCTGGTTTCACTTCTAGTCCAGTAAAGCCCAGCCCCTGCTTCCTGAGGCGCCTCCCTCCTCCTCCCTACGACTTTCTCCAACAGCTCCACCACGAAGGTGCCACCCACCAGGAGTACTGCTTAGCCCCCAGGTCCACCTCCTCCCCAACATCACCGGTGGCTCTTATCTCCTCTGCAGCCAAACTGAGGCTCTGGGAAGACAGGAACAAGATCCCAGTAAACACAGGCTAAGTGACTCCTGTCTGATTAGGTGTCACTTCATCAAGGGTTATCAGGGACAGCCTTGTAATAACAGAATCTTTTGGGGCTGCTCTGGAATCCCTCAAAAGATGCTGCTTCTTCAGGGAGAGATCTGGGAGTGGGGCCTGAGGAGGGGTTCTCAGGGAGTGGCCAGAGCCAGAATAGCTGGCTTCTAATCCTGGCCCTGTACTGGCTGTGTGACCTTGGGAAGGTCACTTAGCCTTAATATATCAGTTTCCTCAGCTGGGGAAAAAGAAGGCTGGCAATAGATGGTTGCTAAGGCCTTTCCGCTCTGACAGACTATCGATTCAGTGCACAAAACCCAGCCCAGGCCAGCCTTGAGACTTTGGGCAAAGAAGTGCCTCCAGGCCCAGGTCACCCAGCTCCGTATCTGATGGTCATCCTCAGCTACTGGGGGACGACACGGGACTGGGTCACCTGGGAACCCAGCAACCCTGGCATAGCACAGCTCTTCCTAGGAGGCAGATGAGGCCGAAGTCCATTCCACCAAGCCTATGAGAGCATGAGTCTCAGGGTAATCTCAGAAAAATAAACTCCAGTCGTAGCAGAGGCCCTCGGGAGAGGCTGCACATTGGTGGAAAATACCCAAGAGGTGGTATGACCATGTGGAGCTGGCAGGGCAGCCACTCAGGCAATAAACCGTGCTTATCTGGGCGTCTGTTTGCACCATCCTGGCCTGCTCTGCTTGTGGGGAGTAGGGCTGGCCCAGGCGCTTGGGGTCTAAAGGCCCCCCGACTCTACCTCTCCAAGCCACTGACGTTACCTCTTCCTGGCCCCAAGTGGGAAATACAGCCTCTCCCCCTTAGGACCCTGCAGCCTGGAGGAAGGCTGCCTTTGCAATACAGGGTCAGAGAGCACCTTCCTATCGCCAGCTCTATGAGCTGTGTTTAGTCTAAACCCTTTGTGAGCACCACACCACTCTGAACGTTTAATCTCTGCTTCGGAAACATAAATAAGAGGAGTGAATAGCCGGCGGACAAAGCACCACAGAAGGCTCAGTGCCTGCGCGGCGACTAGCCTCTGGGAGGGGAACAACAGAGAAAGGAGCACGCGGGGCCCCTCAAAATCCCACAAACTCCCACCCAGCTGCACCGCTGAGGCCACAGTCAGGTTAAGCGGAGCTGGCTGGGCCTTGGCAACAGAGGGATTTCCTTCCTCCATCCCCACACCTAGCACTTAAACTCTGCCTCTACAGGATCCAGGCTCCAGGACCCCCAAATCCTGAAATCCGCCACTTTCCAGCCCTGGTGGCCACACTGTGTTGGGGAAGTCCCAGAAGGAGGTGGGCCAGGGCCTGGTTTACCTGGCAGCCAACAGAAAAGAGGGTCTTTTCTCCTTGGAGGCCCCTGTCAGGGCAAGAGAAAGAAACAAAGGAGGCTGGAGGAGGGTCACGCAATGACTACACTCAGATGTGGGCTGAGCCCCTCAGGAAAGAGCTCAATTTCTGGGTACTCCCACTGGGCGCAGCCCTGCTCCGGCTTGGGCTGGGGTAGAAGGAACTTAGGCTGCAGCTGGGTGTCCCCCAGGGGCCACTGCTGAGCTCTCAATCGCTCTCCAGCCTCATCTGTCTGCAGCTGTCTAACTACTCAGAACAGAGACCCAAGAAGGCGGATGTTTAATGCCAAGAGTGTGCTTCTAGAGGAGTTGCTGGGGCTAGGGAGGGGCCACAGGACTGGGCAGAGCCACTGGCCACCAGCCCTGGCCCAGCAGGTGTCCTCCTCACTGGCATGGCTCACAGCCAACCCTCCACAATGACACCCTGCTCACACCTCCGGGCAGTTGGGAGCCTGGTGCCAAGCATGCCCAGATACACGGGGGAGTGCCTGAGGCTTTGGGTGACCCCAGGTCTTCTCTGAGCTCAGGCTCTTCATCTGTAAAAGGTGAGGAATGCAAATTCCTTCCTACTTCACAGCCTTGTGGTCAGATGGAATGACAAAAAACAACCAACACTACCATCATGAAGAATAGTAGTAAAAAGCTTTATCTGGGGCAGAACCATGCTGTCTCTTGCTCTGGTGTGAGTAGAAAGGGGATTGCATTTTCAGATTTCAAAAACGAGCCGCAAAGCTCCTGTGTTTCCCGGGAGGGTAGCATACTCCCACTCCGCCATTGATTAGGATGACAGGTGACCTAATGAATTTACACTTGCAAGCCTCCTCATCCAAAATCCTAGGACATACACATCTGTGTCTCCTGAAAGTCAGATGATTCCATAATTGCAGCGAAAGAAAGAGCCTTTGGTATCAGGTAGTCTAATGCCTCCCATTTTATAAATGAAGAAACCGAGGCTCAGATATCTTTGGTAGCTTTTGTATGAATGGCTAAAAGTATAAAAAAGGACATGATGTGGAGGTGGGTGGTGGGTCCCTCCCCAGATCCCGGAGAGCATAACACTGCCAGTTCCAGAGGATAGGGATGAAGACAAGGGTAGCTACGTCTCCCACTGTTCAGTGGCCAGGGGGTCTGAGCCTCAAGCGTCAGGGACCTTCGAGGCTCAGGAAAGGCTGACTGGCAGGCAGACAGGTAGGCGGGCAGGCCCAAGAGAGTGTTCCCAGTCCACAGCCAGCTATCCCGCGTGTGCGTGTGCACGTCCCCACATGCCCCCTCTCCCACGGCATAATGGGAAGCCTCAGTAGTAGTGTATGGCTGCTCTGCACGTATCAGGGAGGCAGGGAAGGAGGAGCCAGGCAGGGGGCCTGGCATGGGCCTCCTGCCTCCCGCACGTATGTCTCTTTGGCAAATGTCTCGTTGCCCTTTGAAGATTCCCTCTTGATGCAACCCAGGGCGGGGAGTGGAGGGGCCAGAGAGGGTGCAACTCATTTTCTGTCTGTTTGTAATCAATGGAGAGGCCTGGTCAGATCCCTGCCTCTCCACCAGGCTGGGCTGCTGAGGAGGCCCTTTACCCGGCCTGGTGCTCTTGACTGCTTGCCTCAAGAACTCTCAGTCTGGGTCCTGGCATCCCCTGCCCACCCTGTCCTCCAAGATCCCATCTGCACCCTTCCAGCATGCTGAGAGGGCTCTGGGCCAGCTGGATGGGCCCTGGCTACACTGCTCTGCTTTCTGTGTGGGGCAACCCTGGTCTAGGACTACTATACCTCTCTAGGCCGCTAGGTCACAACAAGTGGATCCCCAGGCCCTGCCAACTTCACCAGCCAGGATGTTTTTAGATGTAGACTCTCCCTAAATTATCAGCCTGCACCCACCCTGCATACTAACCCCTTTTTGGAAGGAAAGAAGAGAGGAGCTGAGCATGGTACCCCCAGCCTGGATGGCTTACCTTCCACCTCTGACGAGTTGTTCCCAGTAGACAGGGCCCATTGCTGTAGATAGAAAGGTGCAGAGATGGGGGAAGGGTCACCTTCTGGCTCTGTACTCTGGGGTCAAGTGTAATGGCACGAGGGTAGAGGCCTTTCTGAGCTCCTCCCCGCCCTCTGCACACACTGCCCTATCTCAGAGGTACCTCTTTCTAAGAGCAACTAAATCCTAAGCAGATCCTGGGCAGGTCCCGCCTCTCTCTGGCCTCAGTTTCTTCTGTCAGAAAAGCACAGGAGGCTGGAGGCTTTTGGAGGCTTCCTGCATCCCAAAGATCTTGCAATCCTGTGGGGTCTCCCTCTTACCCAGCCCCCAGACCAGCCCTGCTGGGCCCTGTACAGCCCGCCTTGGCTGGGTGCCAGAGCCCAGGGGGAGGTGATCAGCTGGTGGGAGCTGAGGAGCAGGAGCAGGCGGCGCCATGAGCCAGCGCTGCCGGTAATGTTACACCTCTGGCTAGCCCTGCATCGAGCAGGCTGCTGGCTGGGCTGCTTGCCCTTGCAGAACCGACCAGCCCACCCACTCTCTCCTGGGCTGGGACTGGGGACTCCCAGGGCAGCAGGGAAGTGTAGTGGGAAGGGAGCTCATTGGCTTTGTGAGGATTTCACTGCCCAAGCTGGCTCCAAGCCAGACTCACCCGGCTCCTGGGAAAAGGGCCCCGCTCAGTTCCCCAGGCCCTGCACTCAGGACCTCCGGCCACCCACCCGAGAGAGGGGGCATAGCAGGACCCCTTGTCTTATCCCAGCCCACCCATGAGCCCCTAGCTTAGCCCAGAGCCCCGGTGGGGGCAGGGCCTACCCTACCCACCAGCAGCCTCTTCAGTTGGCTTCCTCTCCACCAGGCCAGGTCAGAGGTCCTGGGGGCGCCTGGTTGGTCACAGGGCCTCGACCCTGACCACAAGGCCAGGGAACCGCCTGGGATTAGCGGACAGATGCTTTTAGCAAAGCCGCTATGGCTCCAGGGGCCAGACAGGAAACCTCCCTCCCTCTCTGTGCCTCCCACCAAGACAGCCCCCTGGAGCTGGGGACAGCCCCGCCTGGGGTCTTCTCCCAGAGGCCATGGGTCCAGTCTGGTCCCTGGGAAGTGTGTGGACATCCCGGGAAGTGCTACTCCTTGGCATGGGTCTATGATTTCAAGTCCTCTGCTTCAAGTGCTGAGATGAACAGATCGACAGAGGGCCGGTAGTAGGAGAAGTTCTTACCTGAACGGGCACAGTAGGCAGTGCCAGCCCAGCCAGGAGCTGCAGGACGCAAGTGAGCAGCCTCAAGGCTAGCATCTTCTCAGACGTCCTGAACCAGTGGGCTCCGAGGGAAAATCACCATGCTCGACCTCCTGGGGGAGCCCCTGGCACAGGAGGAGAGCTGAGTGAGGAGCTGAGTGAGGATGTTCCCCTCACTGCTGCCCCCAGGTTCCTGTTGGCGGCCCGAGCATCCTCTGGACACTCGGGGGAGTCAGGACCCCGCAGGTAAGGTTGTGGCTGCGAACCTGGTGGGGAGCGCCCCGGGGGGTCCGGGCAGCTTGGGGCAGGCGCGAACCCCGGAGGGCTCTCTAGCGCTCGGTGAGACCCCCTGCTCCTCTCTCGTGGCTGATCAGAAGTCTGAAGATGTAGTTTCCCGCACAGACAGCAGCTCCCTTCTGGGACTGAAGCTTGTCGGCGACTGATTTTCAAGGCTGTTTCGGGGCGGGGCTCCAGGCCGGCCCCGCCCACTGAGCTAGCCTGCAGCCGGGTGCCCAGCCCCGCCGGCTGGGTGGCTGTGGCCCAGACCTGCGCACGTAACACCGCGGAGCGCGCAAAGAAGGGTCTTTGCGCGCGCAGACCCCGACCCCGGCTCGCCTGGGGCCTGGCTTTTCTGGGGCAGCTGCCTAGGATGGGCACTGCACCTGGACGTTTACGTCTACAATGGAAGCTCAGGACTTTGGCTGCCTCAGATAGGAAGCCAGCACTGGATCACCAGGAGCGAGGCCATTTCATGCCATCCCCACAATCTTTCGGGGACTGGAAACATTATTAATCCCATTTGATAGAGCCTGTGAGCATGGCCTGTCTACACATGTTGAACGCACACATGGACTCTTGGAGTTTGTGTGCGTGCGAGTGTGCGTGTGAGTGGTGTGTGTGTGTGTGTGTGTGTGTGTGTGTGTGTGTGTGTGTGTATCCAGGGAGCTAGGCAGAGACAAAACCCAAGTTAAATGACTCTAGAACTGTTTCTCTACCCAAACTGCCACCCTCTGGCCCAGAGAGCAGGAGGCAGCCCAGCTATGGGTGGCAGCTCACAGGAAGCCCTCAGGGCACCTGGCCAGGTTCCAGCCCTATCTCCTCCCGGCCAGCAGAAGTGGCCCAGCAGAGGTGGTAGAAGGCTAAGGAGAAAATGCTTCAGCGCTGCAGGGTGTGCTGGCAGGGGTCTCCAGGTCTGCCTGTGCCGGGGCATTGGTGTAAGGTCTGGGTGTCTGGGAAACAGGTAAGCCCAGTCTTTGGGTATCTGTGGGCTTATGTGTGTGTTTGGAAATGTGTCTGAACATGTATTTTGGTGGTTTTCTGAGCCTCTGCCTGCATGTGTGCCTGCATGTGTGTGCCCTCTGTGTGTGTGAATACTGGACAGGCTTCCATGTGTGACGGTGCACTTTGGCGGGCCCCCCATCCTTGAACCTCAACCATTCTTTACCACCACCCTCAGAACCCTCTGCATTTTTTTGGCTGCAAAAACCTGGCAGGATTCAATCCTGAGGTGACCGGCTGTGGGGCTGGTGGGTAACTGTGGGGGAGGAGATGGACCTGGGAGGTGGGCCCATAGGCTCACATTTCAGCCAGAAGCCGGGAGGCCAGGGCAGCCCCAGTTCTCACCTCAGTGACCTCTGCCTCTGCTGCCTGCTGCCTGCTGCCCACCCACGAGGGCTGCCTCCCTGCCCAGCCAGCCCTAACCCTGGAGATCCAGGAGTCGGGGGCCAGTCACTGGCCAGCTAAGCAGAAGCAGCTCTGACACACTAGGTTTCTTAGGCTGGACAGAGTCCTTCCTGGCCCCAGGTCCTGGTGGAGGGTTGCTGGGTGAGTAGATGTGTGCTGTGGATCTCTGCATCGCAGATTTGCCTATAACATCTGTGTATGCATCTGCATGTGTTTATGTTTGCCTGACTTGGATTTGTGCATATGGGTATGAGTGTGCACAAACATATAGGGAGTTATCTGCATTGTATATGCTTGTGTACACTGAATATTTTGACACATAGTGAGCTTGCTGCCTATAACTATTCTTGTGAGAAGGTTGGCACATTGTGTGCATGTGTGCACATGTGTGTCTTCAGTCTTCCATTTCACATATTACATTAAGCCAGCTGTACTATAGGCACTGCCCCAGGTGCTCAATATTTATTCAGAGGTTCCCGTGACATTTGTGTTTATGTCAGAGACAGATTGCTGGGGATACCGAAGTCTTCTTTCTCCACTCCTGAGTGACTACAATGTCTTAGGCAATGTCTGTGGATCCTACAAGTGCACCTCCGTCCCTTGGCAGATGTACCAGAAGCTCTGCTCCTGTGTGTGGAGGACCCACTGCTGATCAGCCATACAACCTCGCATCCTGGCCTCCACTTTCCGGCCTGCGTCTCCATGGGGAAAGTGGGAAGAAAAACAGTGCTTCCTCCTTAGGGTTGTTTGGGGACTGTTAAAGCTCCTTGCTAAAAGCAGTGGTAGTCGGTGTACGTGACATCTTATCCAATGTTTTATTTTTATTACAGAAATAAAAATACTATAGTTACAGAGTAGAGTCCTTGACAGTATGGATAAGAGACAGAAAATAAAGAAGCTTGTATATCTGCAAATTGCAGCAAAGCAAGAGGATGGGAAATTTGTGCACATGCATGCACACACAGTGCATGCACACGTGCAGTTGTTGTCTTCATCATGCTCCAGAAAAATCGGTCTTCAACTGCCATCAAGTTCCTCTGAAAGATCCCTCTGCTGAGAGGATGACTGAGTCTGTGTCCACAGTTTAACAGTAACTTGTTTATTACCACTGTGCTCTGCTGTTGTCTCAGAGAGAGAATGAATATTGACCGTGCACCTCCTGTATGCCAAGCAGTGCGCCTTGTGCTTTAAACATCTTGGCTCGTTGATTCTGCCCACTACCCAGTGAAGTAAGTTTAATTATCCCCTCTGATCAAGGTTCTGGGGGTTGAAGGTTGCACATGCTGTGCACTGAGTGACATCCCCAACCCGAGAATTGTTTTCATCTTGAAGATGGGAAAATGAGGCCCCGAATGTAAGAAATTTGACAGTAGTCCTTTAGGTACCATGGGGATCCAGCTTCCCTCTTGCTCCAAAACTCTTTCCAATAATCATAAACTCTACCCTACCCTCAACCAGCGTTAAAGTCAATCTGGAAGCTTTACTGGGTCTTCCCCTTGCTGGAGCAGCATTGGATATTGATGTGTGGGAGGAAGAAGCTGTGATCCCTAGAGCTGACCCTTCCTTAGAGAGTCAGGCAAATGCAAGTCAGTGTGACAGGCCAGGCTGGAGAGACACTGGGGTCCAGTCTATGGGTCAGGCCACCCCCTGGCTCCCAAGGCTGTCACAAATACAGAGCTGCCCACACTGTGTTAGTCGCGTTCTTCATCTGAAGCATTTGCCCAAATCTATTCCAGTTCTTGGTTTCCTGTTTCCTGATTCATTTTCCCAATTTGATCCAGTCTTTTCAAAGTCTTGGCCTTCTGAAATTGTGCCTTCTTGTGAGCTTTCTTTCTCTTAATAAAGGTTCAGCATCTTCTTTTGGGAAGCTCTCTCCATGGCCTTAAGTAAGAATCTTGTCTTTCTGACCTTTGTCCATAAGCCCTAGACCTGAGTACAGCCACAGCTGGCTGAGAAATGGCCCATCCAAGGACTAAATTTTCCCTTCTCATCTGACAGACAGCAGCCAGGGGCCGCTCTGAGCCAGGAGCTGGTTCACTTTATAGACTATGCATATTTTACAGCTAGTACCTGTCTAAGATCACTAGCAAGATGCTTGGTCTCATCTGCTTTATTGTCCTGCCTCCTGGACTGGGAGTTTCTGCAGGTGTATCTTACCTCAGTCCTGATCCCTTCTTTTCTCCATGTACCTCTTCCAGGCAAGGTCCATGGCTTCCCTGACTACAAACCTGAACAAGAAGCCCTACAGACAAGTTCCCATAGCACCTGGGTTTGCCCTTCCATGGTGGCATCTGGTCCTCAGCTTTGTCATTGCCCAGTTTTTCATCTGCCTGTCTTAAAACTCTAAGATCTAAGAGGGCAGAGCTTGTGTTTCTTGTTCACATGTGTTTTTCTAACACCCTGTTCAGTGCCTAGTACAGTGCAATAGCAGAGGCTTAAGTAGTGTGCATTAGATTGGTCCAGTCCCTGAGACTCCTCCCACCCACAGGGACAGTATTCCAAATCTACCCATTCCTAACTCACAAGCCCTTCAGCTCTTCAGAGAGACCCTCTCCTACACTGTACTCAAGACTTTTCAACGTGGGTGGGCCTCTCGAGAGGAAGGGGTATGGGAGAAGCACCTCCCATTACCGCATAATCATGTGCTGGGTTGGTCACCACAACCCTACCAACCCACAGGGGACAAGGCCCATGCCTTCAGCCAGACACCAGAGCCCAGTGGGAGGCCTGGGGTGGAGTGGAGCGGGAAGGGGGCCAAGAGATGAGTCCAGGGGTGGCCACATATTCCTAGGGTGGGAAACAAGATGGCACCCACCACCAAGGTTGGGCCCAAGGGGAGCCAGGAGAAGTGCCCACAGCCTTGTCCCAGGGCTCTGGGGCGACGCATTGTCACCAAAGGAATGGAAACCTGTACTTTGGGAACTTGGCAGCCAGGGCTGGGTTTTTCATGTTTTCTGTAATTATTTCTCTTTTGTTCACCCTTAGCATTTAGTGAAGCCCTTTGTGAAGATGCCAGCTGGTCTCAGCTGTGCTAAGAGGAATGACAAGGGGACTCTGCATGCTCGGCCCGGTCCGTTCATGGAGGGTCTAACAGTGGTGGCAGCAAAGTCAAGCACCACCAAGGGCACAGAGAGGTCCTGGGGGCCACCTCACATCTAGAGTCTCTCTGACCTGAGTCTCCTTCTAGTCTCTTTGGAGCTACTGCCTCAACACTGGGTGGCTATCGAGCTGGCTGACCCCACTGCTCTGAGGGGCATTAGCATCTCAGTGTGTGAGACCAGGAGGCAGGCACCTGCTGTGCTCCATCTCCCTCGTTGCTTGGCAAGCTGCTGTGGTGGCATCAGCCGCCTGCCTTTCCCTTCTCCTGTCTGGGCCCTCAGTCTCCTGTATGCCTGCAGCCTCCTGGGGTTGGACACTCAGCCAGTCCCTTCCCACCTGCCTGGGACCCACTGCATCTGTATTTCCTGTAGCTAAGTCCCTCTTCTCCTAAGTCCTGTTTCAAGCCTGTTTCATCTTTCAGCTTCCCGGGGAGAGGAGCCGGAGACCATCCCCCTCTGGAACAATGCCCCTTTCTGTCCGTGTGTAAGTGATACACGAGGAGGGGAAGCTATTTGGAACTAATCGGCAGTGATGTGGAACTGAGCTTGGAGAAACTGAGAGCCTGCGAGAGCTCAGGGCATCCTGCTTCTGGGCAACAGCTGGACGGGGTTGCTCCTGAGTCTCTGCATGGGGACAGCAGGTCACTCCTTCCTCCACCCCCCACTGCCTC